AAAAATCAGAGTTTGATTTTTCTCTAAGTAATGAGCAAGTTTTTCCACACCAGCCCATAGCAGTTTATTGTGTGTGTTTGATGTGTAATTCCTTCATTATTAGATACTAAGTTTCTGTATAGACTAAGTTGGATTTTGAGATACCAATACTGTTCCAATAGTCTATTTGTATTGGAACTGTGCAATAAAGGATTAACCTTGTGAAAATAGAGGTCTGGCCTGCGGTCTTGACTCCTGGAAATAACTTCTAAGCACTTGGATCCTACCTGATAAGATTTTTTTTGTTGTTATTTTTAATCTGAGGCCTATGCTAAAAATATGATTTATTGTGGGGACTTTGGACCATGTGGTATCGGCTAGACCACCAGAGGGAGGGGGAACTAAGCTCAACCACATGAATACCGATAAAAACTCTGGACAGCATGGCTCCAGTGAGCTTCCCTGGTTGGCAGTATTTCAGGCATGCTGTCATACATTGTACCTGGAAGAAGCATGACTCCACTGAGACAGGACAACTAGAAGTTTCATACTGGGAACTCTCCTGGGCCCTGCTCTTATGTGTTTCTTGCCTTGGATGATTGTCATCTGTATGCTTTCATATAATAAAGGAGTAAAATGACTTTCCTGTGTTCTGTGAGTCCTTCAAGTAAAACCCTATTCTCAAATGAGACTACATTCACAGGTAGAGGAGTTAGAATTCCAACACATATTTTTTGGTTGCACATTTCAATTCATAACACTGTGCATTTCTACTTTGTTCTCTTGGGAATACTTGTTCTTCAATAGTTCAGTCTTCATATAAACAGTTACAGCCTTGAGGTTTCCATGCTGTGAGAAAACACACTTAGCCACCTGTAGAGATCACATGGAGAGATAGATTCCCAGGCTGCCCTGACCTGCTTCAGATCCTTGCTATTACAGTGGTAGTCATCATCTGACCACATGAGAGACTCTGAGCTAGAATCTCCTAGCTGAGCTCTTCCTGAACTGGTGAATCATAAAAATTATAAGAGATAATAAAATTATTGTATTGTTTAAAACCACCAAGTTTTTAGATGGTTGTTACTGCAGCTATACACAATTTTAAGAGGAATATTTGCTCTTGGAACCTAGTATCCATGGATGACTCCCACAAGATTGTCTCTCATTTTTTGTTTATTTTCCAATATCTTGTTGTATTTTATTTACAAATATTTTGTCATTTTTATTCACAACTGAGAAAGCCAAATATCTCCCAAAATGTTCTCGTGTAGTTTAGACATCAAAATTTATCTAGCCTAATAAAATTACTTGAAGACTATTACTTCTTTTAATATTATTTGAAATATTGAGACTTATCTGTAGGGTCACTGAGTCTGAATCAACGGCAATGGGGTTGTAGGTAATAGACACATCTTAGTCTGATTTCCTTTTCTTTTCTTAGCAGATTTTGATGAGTGAATTAATTCACTTTAATGTTATGTTATGTGTTGTTAAGAATTGAATTGTGTCCCCCCAAAATGTGTGTCAACTTGGCTAAGCTATAATTCCCAATATTGTGTGACTGTCCTCCACGTTGTGATCTGATGTATTTACCCTATTTGTTGTAAATTCTAACCTGTATGATGTTAATGAGCCAGGATTCCAGGCAGTATGTTAACAAAGCAGGATACAATCTACAGGATTAGGTAGTATCTTGAGTCAAACTCTTTTAATATAAAAGAGAGAAGTGATCAGAAGGAGAGGGACCTCATACCATCAAGAAAGAAGAACTAGGAGTAGAGCTCATCTTTTGGACCTGAGTTCCCTATGTTAAGAAACTCCTAGACCCAAGGGAAGATTGATGACAAGGACCTTCCATCAGAGCTGACAGAAAGAGAAAGATTTCCCCTGGAGCTGGCTCCCCAAATTTGGACTTCTAGTTTTCTGGACTGTGAGAATAAATTTCTGTTTTTTAAAGCCATACACTTGTGATATTTCTGTTAGAGATGCACTAGATAAATAAGATATATGTATATCCATTTCATAATTTTTATCCATTATTTGAGTCAGCTTTTATAATTAAACCATTTTATCTAAGATTTCAAAATGTATTACTAAGACTTTTTTTTAAAAAAATATGCTTTTTTAAAAAAATATTTTTACTGTTTCTTTTATTATATTGCATTTTTATTTCAGTACACTATTGGGATTATTCAATTTATTTAATGACGTTTGCCATGTGTTTGTATTATTTGCATACTTTTCTCCCCCTTTAGCCGAACATGTGACATATTTTATTGCTTGGAATCCACAGCAGTTCATCCTCAACTTAAAAAAATAAAATAGTTTCCACACACATTACAAGAAGAAAAGCAATACTGGCTGTTTTTTTTTAGAAGAATAAGGAGAAGTTTCATAAAGCAACCTCAAAAAAATTCTATTCACAACATAAGGAAGGAAAACAATGTGCAAATGTGGAGTATATAATATAAAATTATGAACAACAATGATATGCTTTCCCAATGCATATCTTATCTCTCTGAGTGTTGTCTAACACCCATTTCCCCATGATAATATTGCTTGGCATAACCACTTCCACAGCCAGTATTGGTTTTTTTCAACCAATTAAACCATTGTTTTTAAAACTTTTGACAATAGTTATTTTTTTTAATGTGGTTATATATGTATACACACAATGTGTAATATTCCATTTTATTCATTTTTAAGTGTACAATTGAGTAGTTTTAATATATTCACAGTATTGTGCACCTATAAAACTATTTATTGCCAAAGTTTGATGTTGATTATGTTTATTAAATATGTCATTAATCCAAAAGTAACAGTCAGTTCATTGAAAGTAAGGACACATGCTTTCTTGCTTTCCCCACACTTTACTTCAAATAACATGTACTGAAGTGAGGTTTATAGTTTTATCCTTTATCTGACACTCACAGGCATCATACCAGAATCATTGGTATAATTAAAATATAAAAGTTATTAGGCCCAATGAAATTTTCCAAAACCTCTGTTGTGTAATAGATGATGGCAGAAATACAAGATGAGGCTATTTCTTGAGTGCCCTTGACAAACTCATGTGATGTTTCAAAACCCAGACACTCATCTGTAAAATGAGGGAATATTATTATCAACCATACGCTACTGTTGAAGTGTTACAGAAAATAAATCATTTTAAGAAATTTTACACAAATGTTGCCACAAAATGTTATGGTTATTATGAATTGGAATTTTTGATGATGATGTGAGCATAAAGACTGTATGCATTGTATCATAATGCTAATAACAATTGCATGGAAAACAAAACATTCAGAGTTTGACAATTTATGTGGATCGCTCATAGTGCTGATTGGAATTAATGTTCTTCTCCCTTTCAGCACGTGTGGTGAAATTGCCCACCTCCCATCCCTTGACAGCTGGTATGGCCATGGACTTATTTGGCCAGTAAAATGTGAACAGAAATGGCAGATAGACACGTAAAGAATCAGTGTACACTCATTTATATACTCTTCTTCTGAGTGACAGACCCTTGACTAGGGAAATCTACATTTTTATACTCAAAACTATTTTAAGTTTTTTGTCAGTTAAAACTCTTAAACTTCCTTTCTTTTCATATGTACTTCAGAGCTTCTTTTCACATGGATGTTTTGTCTTTTTTATTGTGACTCTCCCTGATGTCACAATGCGTATTTGAATATCTTTTCCAGTATATATTTTACATTGTTTATTGTTAACCCTGGTTTTCAAAGTATGTACTAGGATTGTGGCTTGAAGATTCAAACTGCCAACCTTTTAGCAGCTGAACAATTAACCACTGCACCACCAGGCTCCTTCAGATCTATGAATAGGCATGTGATAATAACGGTGAACATAAATTGATGTATTCCCTTAATTAACCTAGAAAATAATGTTTAAAGCAAATAAACAGGTAAATGTATCCTCAAACCACTTGACCTTATTATTTTTTTAATTGCTATTAGTATATATATATATATATATATATATATATATATATATATATATATATATATATATATATATATATATATATATATATATATATATATATATAAACAAAACATTTTACATTTAAACATTTTTTTTACATATAAAATTCAGTAAGATAAATTGAACTTACCTTTAACAAAATTTTGGTCCGATTATAAGTATATCTTATTTATATATTTTCCTTACCATATAGGAGAAGCAGTAAAAAGTGTTTCTGTTACCCTCATGCACAACTACTCCCCCAACTAAACCCATATTCTTTTCCCAGTATACCTTTTAGTGATATTTTTATGGTCCTAAAAAGAACATATATTTTCAAAATTATTTTGTGAATGAATAAATGACTCAATGTTTTCATTTCTTCTATAACACTAAAAGTGGTATCTCAAAATAAATTGACATAGTGCTCTTTCAAGGTTTATCAATATTTTAAGTGCAGATAAATACAAAATTTAACATAAAATATTGCTAAGGATAATATTTTAAACTCTTTAAGACTGAAATATTTAGTGAGATCTTTTAACTTGCCAAACACATATGACAGGGACTTGCTTATTCATAACACCAGATCTCTTACCTAACTGCCAATTCAAATCATTAAAAACCCTCAGAAAAATAAGGATTTTGATAAATGATATATGTTAATGAACTTCTATATTAAATTTGCATTAAGTTGTTGTGTTAGGTGCCTTTGAGTCAGTTCCTACTCATAGCAACCCTGTGTACAACAGAACGGAACACTGCCCAGTCCTGCGCCACCCTCACAATCTTTGCTATGTTTGAGCCCATTGTTGCAGACACTGTGTTAATCCATCTCGAGGGTGTTCCTCTTTTTGCTGACCCTCTACACTACTAAACCTGATTTCTTTCTCCAGGGATTAGTCCCTGCTGATAACATGTCCAGAGTACGTGAAGTGAAGTCTCATCATCCTTGATTCCAAGGAGCCCTGTGGCTGTACTTCTTCCAACACAGACTTCTTCATTCTTCTGGCTATGTTCAATATTCTTTCCCAACAATAATACAAAGTACATCTATATATTTCCAATCGATTATCTCAATATATTGCTTAAAACATAAATTTCAATTAATAACATAGGATGAACCTAAGCAATTTCCTAATTAAAATATTTTTTCCATGATTTTCCTGATGGCACATTTTATTTGTTCATTTCTAAGACTGAAAATAATTGGGTTGAAGCGGGGGGGAATTACAGAATAGAACACAGAAAGGACAATATACTGGATGGTTGCAGAGATCCCAGATGGCCTTAGGAATACGTATGCGAGTGAGCTGAAGAAGACAGACACCACGAGGATATGAGAGATGCAGGTGGAAAACGCATTTGCTCTGTCTCCTCCACTTGGGAACTTGAGCACATTAGAAAATCTGTGAATGTAAGACTTGATGATGAAGATGAAACAGCCTCCACCAGTCCGCAGATCAGAGACAAGGATTATCATCTCATTGCTGAAGGTGTCAGAGAAGGAGAGCTTCAGCAGAGAAGGGATATCACAGAAAAACTGATGAATAATGTTGGACTGACAAAAAGGGAGCCTGAAAGTGACACCTGTGTGGAATCCTGAGTAGAAGAGACCACTGAGGATGGAAGCCAGTGTCATGTGGGCACAGATGTGAGGGTTCATGATCACAGGGTAGTGGAGAGGCGGGCAGATGGCCACATAGCAGTCATGGGTCATGAAGGTGAGGAAGAGCAGCTCCACTTGTACAAAGAAAACCACTAGGAAGACCTGAGCTACACATCCTACCTTTGAAATGACACTGCTGTCAAGCAGATTGTTGACACATGAATTAGATAGTGTTACAGAACATAGCACGCATCCAAGATGGACAGATTCCTGAGGAAGAAGTACATGGGGGTGTGAAGTCTCTTGTCCAGAGTGGTGACAATAACAATGAGAAAATTCCTAATGAGAGTAACCAAATCCATCAGAGAGAAGAATACAGCATGCAAAACTTGTAGTTCCCATACATCGGAAAACCCCGTCAGGAGAAATTCCATCATTATGGTGGAATTGGGCATCTCTTGGTGAGGCAGCTCATACCTTGGAGGCAATGAGAGAAACATGAAGAATTAAATAATGAGGAGATGGCTTTCAATCTTTTTTTCTCTTGCCCCCTTTCTATTTCTAATACCTATTGGGATCCTTAATATTTTGGAAGGTTATTTATGTACTGCTTCACTAACATCTATAATATTCCTATTCCTATTATAAGAATGAATTAAAAATCACGACCATTTTATCATAAGCAAAACACATACGTGTTTATAATTTTATAAACTTCCATGTTAATATGTATTTTTCTAATGATAAAATAGTTTAAATAAAGATGGAGTCCCTGGGTGGTAAAAACGATTAACATGCTGGTTGATAACCAAAGGTTAAATGCTTGAATCTACCCAAAGGTGCCTCATAAGAAACTCCTGGTGATCTAATTCCAAATAAACAACCATTGAAAATCCTATGGAGCACAGTTCTACTCTAACACACATGGGATCACCACAAGTCACCATCGACTATATGGCAACTTTTTTCTTTTTTAATATAGATGTAGATTATGTTGATATAGTTGTGTTTTAAATAAACTTTAGAGATAATGTAATGTTGTTGGATAATTGGGATAAAATATTTTAGATGATTTTCCAGTCTTACATTATTATTTTCAGGCTATAGGTAATACTGGGGAAATTATGCTTTCTAGAATTAGTACTGTATGCATAATAATGTCAAAATTATTTTCTACCACAATGACATACAATATTGAAATCATTTGGAACTTTACTTCATGCAATATCTCAAGCTGATCAAAACTTCCCTCCTTCAAGCATTTACCCCACACTGAATCTTAGTCTCATTTTCTGTTAATTTCTTATTCTTCAGATTATTTTTCTAGTCACTTGTCTATCTTGAAAGAGAGATGTGTCCCTCCCAGCAGCACAGTGTCCTTGCTTCCAGTTTCTTTTAGAGTCTCTTGAACCTTATCTTCATATTGCTTCATTATCATCTTCAGTTTTCCAACTCTACCAACTTTATTTCATTCTACTTGCTGAAAAACAAAACATCAACAAAATTGTGGCATGATATCTTTCAGTAATACTTTAGCTTTTTCTTTCTTTCATCTTAAATTACTAATTTTGTTTTTCCTCTCCTTTACGTTTAACCTTTTCAACAAAATCTGAACGTTCACCATCTGTGTCTACATCATTAATAACATTGTTGGTTGTTGCCACCATATCATTATCCTAGACTAACTGATTATTTCTTTTATCCTTTGATTTACTCACCAGTGGACTATGGTAACCTGCTTTCACCTTGATTTATCTGGTAACTGTATTTTTCCGATCTCCTCTATCATTTTTTTTAACACTCTTTTCTCATTCTCTAGTAATAAGAATGACAATAGTAATAGTAGTAATAAGAACAACCACAGCAATCATAATAATAACTACGGCTTGGAACCACAGACAAGTAACCTACCCATTGCTAAACTGATTGTACTTCAAACTTATTTATTTGGAATTAAAGTCTTCCAAATTCTGCTCTAATCTTTCAAATGTCTTCTAGCTTCTCTCATCTGTGGGAAACTTATCAAACATCTTGCATATGAAATCCTCATGAATGACCTCAGCAAAGGCTATAATGTCTTTTTATCAGTCTTATGCAATATTTCACAAACTGCTTTACATTGATAGGAAGTTGAGCAGTTGCTTTGTCTTACTATCTTTTGTTTTCTTAGAAGTTCCTCAAGGATTGTATATTGTACAACTTTGTGCCTTTCCAGCATCAAGTAAAGTTCTTTCCATGTATCTGATACTAAATATTTTTAAGTAATGAATAAATTTCCATTTCACTAAAATATTATCGCCACCTCTTTACCTATATGGCTTTCGGTGCAGAGGGGGACATTTTTCACTCCAATTATCAAGATATTATCCCTAAATGTTTAAACAATTGAACTAACAAATGATGTATTCTGGATAGTTGTTTGAGGTTGGTTGAATAGAGGGAAAAACAGGTAGTAATTTGTAGTGATTAAGAGCCTCGATTTCCAGTTATCTGGGTCAGAATAACGGTTCAATCACTGTGTAAAATTGCCATTTTAATCATATATTCAGCCTACATATCTCTATCAATCTGGGAAGAATGGTTCCTCTCTCATAGCATGTGGTCAGGATTAGATGTGACAGTGTATGTAACAAATTTAGGAAGGTGCTCAGAACATCATAAATATTTCTTAAAATGTCCTTTTTATCTTTAGAAACGCCGCTATTATTATTGTTTTGAAGTTCTATTTTTAGAGCATATACTACTCTCAGATATTTTAGGATGCTTGTAATATGATATTATTAGTTGCAGTTGAGTCTGCTCCAACACATGGAGATGTACGTATAAAAAATGAAACTTTGCCCAGTCCTGTGTCATATCATTTCTAATTTTCTTAACGATCCTGAAAGGTATTTTGTATCCGCTTTAAAAGAGCACAAAAGACCTGCCCATGTTTAACACGTGCTGTTTCTCTTACGAAAAAAGCTGCTTCCCTTTTTGTGATCTTCACACACTTGCTGTATTCCACAGACAAATAGTTACAGAGAACCTCTGCATGGTTCAACAGCTCTTTCAGTTTTCAAAGAACATCTTCAAATTTTCATGAAGATGAACTAATTGCAATCTGCAATTAAACACATACAACATATGTCACCAACATTTTAGGCAAGACACTTTTTCCTAGGATAAGTATTTTTCAGATAGCTCTAAGTGCTTTGAAGAAAATTCAAATGGGTAATATGATAGAGAGGACAGGATAAGTGTGATTGTGGGGGTTGGAGATTGTCAGGTAACTGAAAGTGCTTTTTCAACAAACTGCTATGGAGGTAAAGACATATATTTTTACTTTTCCCCACCAAACTAATGCTTTCTCTTTTGCCTTGTGTAAGGAAAAGCCCAGCATGTATCTTTTGAATTGATTACATAAGGTAGAGTAACACTTTATTTTCCAGTCCAAATAATAGTTTTCAAACTTTCTTGCCTGATTTGATTTCCCCAAAATTGGGTTGAGTGAGAGACTGAGGTCTGGTGTTTAAATCCTAATGCTGCTAGAGACATAAAAACAGGTTTGACGGAATAAACTATTGCTGAGAGAAAAACTAAGATCCTTTCAACAAACATTTAAATATATATATTCGTATTATTTCTTTTTTTACTGTAGTTTAAATGAAGTTTATATTTCAAGTTAGTCTCCCATACAAATTTTTATACATACATTGGTATGTGACCCTAATGGCTCACCCCATTCTGCGACAGCACACACCTCCTTTCGGCCCCTGATTCCCCATGTTCATTCAACCAACTCCTAACCCTCTCTGCCTTCCCATCTCACCTCTGGACAGAAGCTGCCCATTTGGTCTCTTGTATCTACCTGAGCTAAGAGGCACACTCCTCACCAGTATCACGGTATGTCCCACAGTCCAGTCCAATCCATGTCTAAAGAATTGGCCTCAGATATTGTTTTAGTTCTGAGCTGAGAATCCAGGGGCCATGCATTCCAGGGTACCTCCAGTCTCAGTTAGAACATTAAGTCTGGTCTTCTTACTAGAATTTGAGTTCTCAGCCCATGTTTCTGCTGCTCCATCAGGGATTCTCTGTTGTGTTCCCTGTCAGGGCAGTCATTGGTGATAGCTGGGCACCATCTAGATCTTTTGGTCTCAGGCTGATGAAGTCTCTGGTTTATGCGGACCTTTCTATCTCTTGGGCTAATACTTTCCTTGTGTCTTTGGTGTTCTTCATTCTCATTTACTCCAGGTGGTTGGGACCAATTGATGCATCTTAGATGGCCGCTTGCAAGCTTTTAAGACCCCTGATGCCACTCACCAAAGTAGGATGCCGAACATTTTCTTAATCAGCTTTGTTATGCCAATTGACCTAGAAGTCCCCTGAAAGCGTGGTCCCCAGACCCCTACCCCTGCTACTCGGTTACTCTCAAAGTATTTGATTGTATTCAGGAAACTTCTTAGCTTTGGTTTAGTCCAGTTGTGCTGCCTTCCACTGTAGTGTGTGCTGTCCTTCCCTTCGCCTAAGTGATTCTTATCTACTATTTAGTTAGTAAATAACCCTCACCCTTCCTCCCCACCCTCGTAACCATCAAAGAAAGTTTTCTTCTGTGTTTAAACCTTTTATTGAGTTATTATAAAAGTGGTCTTATACAGTATTTGTCCTTCTGTGACTGACTAAATTCATTCAGCATAATAAGTTCCAGCTTCCTCCATGTTATACAATGTTTCATGACTTCATCATTGTTCTTTATCATTGTGTAGCATTCCATTGTGTGGATATACCACAATTTGTTTATCCATTCATCTGTTGATGGGAAACTAGTTGTTTCTATATTTTGCAATTGTGAAGAGTGCGGCAATGAACACAGGTGTGCATATATCTATTCCTGTGATGGCTCTTATTTCTCTAGGATATATTCCAAAGAGTGGGTTAGCTGGATCATACACTACTGCTATTTCTAGCTTTTTGAGGAAGCGCCAACTCGATTTCCACAGTGGTTGTATCATTTTACACTCCCACAAACAGAGTAGAAGTGTTCCAGTCTCTCCACAACCTCTCCAGCATTTATTATTTTGTGTTTTTTGGATTAAGGCTAGCCTTGTTGGGGTTAGAAGATATCTCATTGTAATTTTGATCTGCATTTCTCTAATGGCTAGTGATCACGGCATTTCTTCATGTGTCTGTTAGCTGCCTGAATATCTTCTTTGGTGAAGTGCCTGTCCATATCCTTTGCCCATTTTTCAATTGAGTTATTTGTCTTTTTGTTGTTGGGGTTTGCAGTATCTTGTAGATTTTAGAGAGTAGACAGTGATCAGATTTGTCGTAGCCAAAACTTTTTTCCTAGTCTATAGGTTGTATTTTTATTCTTTTGGTGAAGTCTTTTGATGAGCATAAGTGTTTGATTTTTAGGAAGTCCCATTTATCTAGTATCTCTTCTGATGCTTGTGCATTGTTACTTATGGTTCCTATTGTGTTTATGCCATGTATTAGGTCTCCTAGCATT